TAACTCTAAACAAGAATTCCTTCTTCTGGGATGTCTAGCAAACTACATCTGTTTTTTTCTTCTTATTGTTACCAAGATATTTCTGAACTATTTAGCCACAGACAATCTGGTTTGGATAAAGAAAAAAACAAATTGTTAGTGTAGGTATATGTGCTTCATGTCTCCTTGCCTTTGTTTATGATATTCTGTTTCTTTTGTCTCGATTTCTGTGTTTGAGTCAAGGTGTCTTGTAATCCTTTTTTAAACTTTGTTTAAATATCCCAATTCACCTCTACGTATCTCATCTCTTTATTGATAGTTCATTTTCCGATCTGATCTGTTTATTGATTGTTTCTGTCGTGATCTGACAAATAAAGCAGAAGCTATTTTTTAAAATTTTTATTTTTCGAATGTCATCTTTATGCACTTAAGTGTCTTTAATCTCTCACTGTATCTGATTGTTTTAGTTTATCCTTTAACTTACAGATTATGGGTTACAAGATTTACACTTACGAAATTCATTCAAGTTATGCGGCAAGGATTGAGAATTACTGAAGCTATGACACAATTAGCAAAGATATTATTCAGAGATGGACCTATCCATTGGTGCCCCTTTCTTTGGAAATTCTGCTTCTAAACTTGAAAGGCGTGGAATGTATCCCGCATCAGGTATGAATATCGGATAAAATATAAGTTCTGAAAATATATTTGATTAGTACTTTTGTTAGTATTGCATTGGCAATCTATATACCTTCAATTCCTTGCACCGTCTCAATTTCTGTGCCTACTCATGGCATTATAAGTTCTCTTCCCCTCTACCTCGATTTAAAGCTTTAATGACGTTTTGAGATAGTTTGTATGAACACTGCTATGCCAGCCGAGTAGTTTCATTTTGCATTTTAAGTTTAAAATGCAATACGTACATGAAAGTTTTTAAATAAATTCAAACAATAAAATTTTTATTTTTCAACACTTTTCTTAAACTACGTACATGAAAGTAAAACAATGATGTTTTTCCCTATACGAAGGGAGTACATTGTTTCAAATAAATATTTTAAATAAGTACAGATTCTAATGTAAAAACTTCTATTGTAAACATTTCATTTAAAATGTTTTTTCATTTTGTTTATTTACCTTATTATAAATTGAAGACTACGATTCGATATATATATGTGTAGATTTGACATATTTTATGATAATATAAAACATTTAAAACACGTATGTGCCCGTATCGATGTGCCGAACATTTAATATGCATAGTAAGCCGTATTTTACAAAAGAGTAAATTTTATAATTGGTCCTTTATAACTGGGGTTTTTTCCTATTTAGTCCTCTATTATCAAAAATTACCCCAGTGGTCTTTTTTTTATGGGTATCTTTCCACAAATAGTCTTTTTTTATCTTCTATCATGCGGGAGTTAATTTGAGGGCTAAAAGTGTAATTTCACAATGATAATATATCTTTTTTATCATACACAATTCAAAAAAATGTTCCTTTTGCGTCGTTTGTAAATTACATTCCCTTCTACTACAATCATAATTTACAAATGTAGTCTTTCGTCGAAATCTTTGCCCACAAGCATAGTCATTATTTTTGTGTTATCCGCTTAACCAATATCAGAACGCGTTACTAGACATAATGTTGATGTCAAATAATACTTTTAGCCTTTAAATTAATACTCACATGGCGGAAGATCAAAGATAGGACCATTTGTGGAAAGGCACCCTTAAAAAAAAGGACTATGAAGGTAATATTTGATAATAAAGTACTAAATATGGAAACCTCCATATTATAAAGGACCAATTATGGAATTTAGTCTTTATAAAATTTTAACGTATTATACACATACGTACGTATTTACACATTATAGATCAGCCCTATATAATTAACTAGGCTGGAAAGAGAGAAATGAGAAGAAGGTTTCATAAGGGTGCTTTTGAGGATTCGAGGTGCATAAAAGAAGAGAAGGCAAGATGAATCTCCATGCGAGCAAAGAAGGTGAAGTGACATCGGCAAGATGAATATGAATTTGGTTGAATTGATGGGCCAATTGGCGATCGGGTAGGTTACCAAAGGGTGACGTGCACGAGGCTGCAGGGTGGCCGATTCGATTTCAAAGAAAACCAAGTGTGATAATTGATTTTTTGCAATGAACAATTATAATGGCAAGCGCACACAAGAAACGAAGAAGCTTGTGATAGCTAAATTAATGTAGTTAGGCTCCATTCCGTTCAACTTATTTTTTCTGATCTGATCTGATTCTAATAAGTTCTGATCTGATCTGGTCTGATCTGATTGGATCTGATCTGATCTGATTGGATCTGATCTGGTCTGATCTGATTAATTATGATTTAATTTAAAATTTCAAATTAATTATTTAATTTGACTTTATAATAACGTTTGAAAATTGTAATGATAATTCAATAAGTTGAACGGAAAGGGGTCTTAGTCCAATATGCTTCTCCAAATTAATCAACTCGACAGTTAGGCCCAGACAAAGTACGTACAGACGGGTGGTGGGCTAAACCTGTCCGGGCAAAAGGATTAATTCAATAGGCTTGGCCAAATACAACTAGGAGTAGTTAGAGCAACTCCAACGGAGCTGCAAAAAATTGAGAGCTAAAACTACTTTTTAGAGTGTGTACAGTAATTTGAATGCTCACATTTTTGTATGCCCTCCAACCATATCAGTTATTATTCATAAGTTTAATATATTTTATTGCTTTTTTACTCTTTTTTGTGAGATAGCTACAAACTAGGTATGTCAGGTTAACACTCACCCTTCCTACTTTTCATATTTGTTTATTACTTTTTTATTATAGCTTATGAACTTAATCTTCTATATATAGATGACCTAAAGTTAAAACTAGCTCACGGTGTATATTTTCCCTTATCCGTTGGAGCTCAATTTTGTCTATAGTGTAGTGTTAAAACTTTAATTTTTAGACTTCAACAAAATATAGAGGCTCCATTGGAGTTGCTCTTACGTAGGAAACATTTATTTTTTAAGAAAAGTCTAATAGGATTAGGAAGCTTGGATGTATATAAATACCCACAAAAGGTTTCGAATAGAGAGGTTCTTTTCTTCCAATTCTTGAGTTGAATATAATTGTCTCTTATTCAATACTACCTCCGTCCACAAATAAACTTTACATTACGCGTTACGATGTTTGACTGAAGTTATTTTTTAATCATTTCATATGAAAAATAGTGTAGAATTAAAAAATAAAAATTACATATTAAAATACTACTCCCTCCGTCCGGTATTAAAGTTTACGTTTTGACTTATTATCATTTTTATTGGGAGTTGACTAAACACTTAAAATACCAAAAATACCCCTTTCTCCCCTTTTTGCTTTTCCACCTGAACGATCCAGCCCACAACTCCCTAAGCTTCCGCCACCTATGGAAAATCCAGTTTCACTGCTCAAAATCGAAAACAGCCCATCCTCGGCCGCCACACTTTTTCCCGCTGTCGAACAAAGTTTCCGCCTCCGGATCTTCGACACCGGCCTCCACAGATGAGCCCAAAGCCAGAGCCAATCTCGCAATCAACTCCTCGCCTCTGCCGACCCGAATTCCAGCCCAGCCGTTCGTCCCCTCCTGACCTGGCTCTCCACGACTCTCTTCCCCTGTATGAGCACCAGGATCTCCTGCCACGTCCACCAGGGAAGCCGCTGCGTCGGGAGAACGAACAGAGGAAGATCCGGAGAAAGAAAAGAAGAAGAAAAGCAAGAAGAAGAAGAAGAAGAAGAAGAAGAAGAAGAAGAAGAAGAAGAAGAAGAAGAAGAAGAAGAAGAAGAAGAAGAAGAAGAAGAAGAAGAAGAAGAAGAAGAAGAAGAAGAAGAAGAAGAAGAAGAAGAAGAAGAAGAAGAAGAAGAAGAG